TGAACATGCCCTGATCCTGTCACCCTCAGACCCCACCACCCTCTGGTCCCATCACCCTCGGAGCCCGTCACCCTTGGTCTCACCCTCTGGTCCCGTCACCCTCTGGTCCCGTCATTCTCTGGTCCCGTCACCCTCGGAGCCAGTCACCCTAGGAGCCCATCACCCTCTTTGGGGACCCATGTAGGAGGAGATACCTCCCGTGCTAGTTCTGCACTTGTTTGCTCTGCATCTGGAGTCAGCATTTATTCGAGGACTCCTGTTCTTTTAGTGGCAAATAGCATTTGCCAAACATCTCAAAGGGGTCTCTGCACACTTATCTCAAATTCCTCCTCTCCAGTTCCTTCTCCAAGCCACCTCCAGTCAGGGTCCCTCCCCATCACTCCTTGGAAACTGCTCTTGTTCACATCACTTCCTTTCCAAGTCTTACCCGACCTTCCAACAGCACTTACCCTCGCTCTCCTCCTCCGCCCTGGCCTCTGTACCTCTCCTCCTCCGCCCTGGCCTCTGTACCAGCACCTTCTGCTTGTTGACTTCTGCTAGCTCTTCCTTTACCAACTCCAAATGCCCAAGAGCCTCATAGTAGGGGCCTCTGTCCTAACTTCACCCCGTCGCACTGCAGGTGACTTCAAACACCATCTCTGTGTCTTGATTTCCAAATGGGTATCTCAAAGTCTGACCAAGGTCCAGACCCCGCCTCCCTCGCAAGCCTGTCTTCTCCTGGACACCTAGGAGGAGCCTTAAAATGAGACACAGGGGCACAGACTAGAGCTGCACCTTGATAACCTGGCTGAGCGCTGCCAACTTCCGGTGGGTATTCAGTGGAGGATGTTTTGTGCACTTACTGGTGAATCCAGCTCTGTCTTGTGGCCTCCACTGAATACCCACATTTCACTGTTCTATGAACAAGAAAAGAAAAGTCTAATGTGTTCAGCTGTTGCTATTGTGTGGTTATTGGTTCAACAGCAGTTAGCCTGTCAACACTTCCACGAATGTCCAAAACAGAACTCGACTTCTCTGCCCAAGTCCTTCCCAACCTTTCTGAGTGGTAACTGACACCTTTCTCCATCCTGACAGCAAACACAAGGCTTGATTCCCTCTTTTCCTTACCCCACATCTAGCCCTTAGGCAACATCTGTTAGCTCTATTTCCATATTATTCTAAGTTCGCTAAAATAATGAGCAGATTCAGCCTCGGTGAGCGAGGGTGCACACAGGCTACAGCTGGCAGGGTCTGTGCCAGGAGTGCCAGGCCGTGGCTGCCCTCCACTGAGCCCAACTCTCGCCCGCCGGTCAGGTTTTGGATGTGCAAGCACGTGCCTCACGGAGGGACTCAGGCTGGGAACAGTAATGGCTTCCTGAAACGTGCTCCTTCTGATGGCAGGTCACAGAAGCACAGAGAGGACGGGAAATTTTCCTCGGCTCCTAAAGCCTGAGGTTAGACTCTCAGTCACCACTATGGTTCGTATGTGTGTCCCCAGTTCCTGTGCTGGAAACCTAACCCCCAGTGGGAGGGTCGGGAGTCGGGCCTAACAGGCGCTGGGTCACTAAGGCCAGCACAGACAGGGCGCCTCGCCTGGTGCACCTGCCTGCGCTCGCCCTTCCCCCAGGTGAGGACACAGCAGGAAGGCTGGCCAGATGCCAGTGCAGCAACCGCAGGCTTCCCGCTCCAGACTGTGAGAAATACGTCGACTCGTTAAAAGTCGCCCGTCTCAGGCTTTCTGTTGGAGCTGCACAAAGTGGGCTGGGATTCAGAATCTGCCATTAGCTTCTTTTTATTGACAGTTTCCCCTGTTAAAAAGGTACGTTCCATCAGAGCCGGCATCCCACAGACACGGAACAAACGTCTGCTCATGTCAAACGAGAGGATTCTGGAGAAGTGACTGGGAGCCACACTGGTGAGGTCTTGAAATGTCACGTCCGAGAGTCTGCAGTTCACCCACCGGCACTGGTCACGGCCACTAAAGAGACCTGCTTTAGGAAGACAGCCGTGGTGGCAATGATGGTGAAATCTGAAAGGAGGACCAGTTGGAAGACTTCTGTACTTGTGCAAAGCAGAGGAGGCTTAAGGCGGAACTAGGCAAAGGACCCACAGGAACTATCCTGAGGTGCCATCAACATGAATTGGAAATAATAAAAGCCGCCATGTGTTAACTACCTCCAGGAGGCCCAGACTCCGTGCTGCCTTCCCGAGAACCAAGCAGCATTGGTCTTAATGTACTAATTTTACAGATAAAAATGCAAAATATGTTCAGAAAACATGTAATTTTCCCCAAAGCCACACAGCTCAGCAATGGCCATGCTGGGGTCTGTGGCAGAGCAGTGGGATTCCCAAGTCCAGGAGCAAAGGTCAAGGGGTGGTACGGGTTTCTGCCTGGGTACTTTCTCAGATGATGCCCTTGGCTGCAGGTGACTTCAAACACCATCTCTGTGTCTTGATTTCCAAATGTGTATCTCAAGTCCGACCAAGGTCCAGACCCCACCTCCCTGGCAAGCCTGTCTTCTTTGTGGATCCCACCAAGTCTGACTGCACAGTAACGAATGTGACCTTGACCAAGGGCATCCTGGGGGAGGAGCCGTAATGCAGTCAGCACCTGCAGGAAGCAGAGACTGGCTGCTGGCTAGCTCACAGGCAGAACTCCCAGGGGACTGTCAGGGCTCACAGCGTCGGCTGCAGGCACAGGCTTCATCAAAACCCAGGGAGGTGCCGAGAGCTAGTCGTTCATTCATTCCCTTAACAAGTAGTTACCGCATGCCCACCCTGTGCCAGGCACTCAGTGATTCAGTGGCTACTGCCTTCAGTGAGTGGACAGACTGTGTACATTTGTGTCATTTACATCTGAGTAGGGAAGTCAGATGATAAGCAAATAAGTTAACTAAATAAAAAATACATAAGATGGTGGAAAGTTAAACAAGAAAAGGGATTAAGGAGTGCCTTGGGAAGAGGGAGGCTGCAATTCTTAATGGAGTGGTCAGGAAGGACTGTCAGAGAAGCCTGGTCCCCACTGCCCATCACTGATGAGACCTCCCAATGTCTGTGTTTTGCTGTTGATTCTCTTGAGGGGCGAGTCCTGGAATTGAGCATCTGATTGGCAAACCCCAAGGCACACGCCCACCCCCTTACCTCCTCTGAGGGTGGAAAGAGGGAGAACTGGCCCTTTAACCTCAGAGATTCAGTGGCTACTGCCTTCAAAGAAGACGCAGAGATAAGGGATTCTCCCAAAGGAGGAGGGAATCTGGGCTCTAGACAACCAATGAGTCCCAGCAGTAGATGCGGTCAGTAAGGGAGCGCCTTGCAGCTACCAAAGGGCGCACAGAACCGAAGGGCAGTGCCTCGGAGAATCTCAAACAGGTTTCAAGAGGCAGGGAAGGGAAGAGGAGCCAGTAAAGGAGAGCAGAAAGGACCAGGAGGGAGCAGAGCCTGAAAGCCCACAGAAAGTTCAGAGGCAAGTGGTGACTGTACAAGAGCAGTCTGAAGAGGTTCGAAGCAGAGCCAGACTGTGACTGAGAAGGAACCAACGGTGAGTGAAGTCTCAAGTCATCTCAAGTCGGGACAGAGCAGCTGCGGAGCCCCCAGGCAAGTCCTGCTTCCGTCATTAATGGGACCGCTGTGTCTCCACCTCCCTTGCACTGGAACTTCCCAACAGCTTGCGGATAAGGTCTTATTCCCATTTGGAAATACATGAAAACTGAATTCCATACCCAGGGTTAGAGGAGATTCTCTTTTCCAGAAATACATGTTGTTAGTAGATATCAAAATGTATTTCCTGGCCCAGAAATCGCTCTTTAAAGAAACTGAGGCAAAAGAAATCGCCAGAAGTATGCACGCAGACTTTCCTGCACAGTTGTACCCCGTAGTGGGAAAGAATAGGGGTTCACCCTGGCCAGGAAGAGACGTGCAGCCACTGCTAAGCCCTGCTTCGGAATGAAACACTCAAGAAAGGAAAGGGATTCTCTGCCTCTGGACAGTGCAGACGACAGTACAGAGAGTACGACTCCATTGTGTGTGTGGTGTGTGTGTGTGTGTGTGTGTGTGTGTGTGAACTTCTTGGTTTATTTTCCCCTATATTTTCCAAAATTTCTATAATAAACAAAGACAACTTTTATAATGAGACTTAAAAGAAGGTCCTTGTTTGTGGTCCAACAGGCCTATCTGGGAAAAGGAGGCTGGGATTCTCCTAATTCTCCAACCTGCCTTCCACTGCCCTGCGGTTTTTCTTTTGTGCCACAGTCAGCAGAGGAATAAGATCTCCCTGGATGACGCAGCAGTTTTCCGGTTTGCTTACTTTGTGGGGTGCGAGGGGTTGAACCCAGGAGTGCTAAGCACTGAGTCAAAGTCCCAGTTCTTTTTGTATTTTATTTTGAGACAGGGTCTTGCTAAATTGCTGAGGCTGGTCTCGAACTTGCGATCCTCCTGCCTCAGCCTCCCCAGTCGCTGAGACCACAGGCCTGCGCCACCGCACCCAGCCTCTCCGTTGCGTCCAACATTCAACTAAAGCAAGCCCTCTAACCCTCGGCACCCTGAAACGCAAGCTCTCGCTCGGGGAGGAGAAAGCGCACAAAGCTGGAACCGCGGAGCAGCAGGGCAGGCGCTGGGGCTGGCGCCAGCCCGAGTCCTCCCGGAGGTGCGCGCCGGACTCGGGAGCCATGGGGCGCGCCCAGGGCCTCGGCGGCCACAGCTGCCGCACGCAGCCCCCCCCCACCAGGACGCGCCAGCTCCCGCGCACGCGCACGCGACCTGCGTCCCCGGGCGTCCCCGCGGGTGGCCGGCGCCGAGCTACGGTGGCCCTGCCGGGCGAAACCACGGACGCGCCACCGCTCTGCACACCGGACCCGCGAAGACGGAGCGCGGAGCAGCGGGCCGCGAAGGCGCCGGGGAACCGAGCGGACGCACGGACTTAGGACGGAGGGGCCGTCCGTGGGCAGCCAGGGGCAGGAGGGAGCCCCGCCGCCGGGTCCAGTTCCCGGGGCGCGACCTCGGAGGGCGTGGTCGCGGGGCGGGGCCTGATCGAGGCTCCGCCCCTCGCCCCGCCCGGCGCAGCCGAGAGCCGGAGCCGCGCCCTTACGCGCTGCGCAGCTCGGGTCTGCACCAGAGCTCCGGAGGTGACCCAGGTGAGTGCCAGCACCTGGGGCTGCGGGAGGGCTGGCCCTCGGGACACTTGGGGGTCTGCACTGGGCGCAGCCTGCGTCCCCGCCGCTGGGGCTGAGCAGGGCTCTCCGCCCGCTTCCTTACCAGATCCGAGCTCCGCATCTCCATGCCTTTTGCTCTCCACCCCCTGATCCCTCCCTGATGGAGTGCTTTGGAGCATCCAAGCGACGCCCGGCCTCTAAGTCAGGGGGAGTCTCAAGGTCAACCCTTCCCCCGTTCCTTCGTTTCCTCGCCGGCTCTCCTCGGCCGTGCAGACTTCTGGAGCCCCCTCCCACCTTGCCAAATGCAGCTCTGGTACCGATGGGCGAGCGCAGCACCGCAGAGGAGCTGGCGCTGAGGCCTGAGCGAAAGCGCTGGTTTCTAAAGGGCCTGCGAGCGCTGCGCCAGCCCGAGGTGTTGCTAGGAGCCTTCGGGGACAGCCCCCAGGGAATTGCATTCCGTCCGTCTGACTCTGGAACCTTTGTAGTGGAACCTGTAGGTGGGTCATTTCCTACCGCTGCTCCAGAGCAGGAGACCCCTCTAGGTGGGTGGGGGATCTGCATTCCTCTCTCCTTTGAAGTTCAGAAACGTGCCCTGCTTAACTGGTGCCACCACCGGGAGGCCGGGAGCCACAGAGGTGGGGCGTTGGGAGGGACTGGAGACTAGTCCGTGAGTCATTGCCTGAAGTTGTGGCTTCTGCTAATACTTTCCTTGGGAGTCACGAATTTACGAATAGCCTGGGGGACAGTGAGGGTGGGAAGGGAGAAGAAGAAAAGCAGACAGAGGGGCGGAGGGGGTGAAGGAGTGAGTACTGGGCCCCGGGACTTCAGTCCCCTAGCCCAGGGTGAAGGGCGCTTCTGGCGTGTACGCTGTGGGCCTAGGTGTGGTTTGCAGAATTGCTGCAGATTTGGGGGTGGGAGCTGGAACGAGGCGTCTTGGGAAATCTGCAGGTCACCTGGCGCCTTCTGGAAAGCACCCAAGGTTTTTAGTCAGAGTTACAGGCATGTTTTACTTTAGTGAACTTAGAAATGCAACAACATTGTCTCTCTCAGAATTAAGAATGTTTATACTTACAGAAGTTAAATAAGGAATTAAATAGAATCAGCATTCCAGAATCCAAACAAATACTTTCACCCCTGGGAAGAGGTTTTGTTAAGCTTCCCTCCTGACACAATGTTACAGAAATAGAAAACTTTGTCAAGTGATTTTTTTTTTTTTTTTTTTTTTTTTTTACCAATGTTACTATATATAAAATGACAGTGATACTGTGACCAGCATAGAAACTGCACTCCAGGGGCTTCTGTAGGTTAGGGAACAAAATCAGAGAAAGGCAGCCTTCCCCCATATTTGGGTTTCCTCCCGCTGGCCTGGAGTCCTGGAGAAGCCGTCCTGAGAGGGGACCTCTTCACCCGGAGGTTAGCACTCTACCCATTATTCAGAGATGCTGAGAAGCCCCTGGCAATCTGGGTAAGGGGGATGAGATCAGCAGGAAGAGCAATTCACTGCATGCGGCACATCTCACTGTACGGAAAGGTCTCAGTCCCTATATTCACACATTCTGACTATTCAGAGCACCATTGCTGGCCACAATTGACCAAGAACCATTTAGCATTTTAAAGCAATATTTGCCTAGAAGAATATGCTGCTACTATTTTTGCAATAGAACTTATTAGTATTATTTATGAGCAGACCATCTTCCTGAACAAGAAGCCAACAGTTATCAGGTAGATTATTTCTATGTAAAACAAAATCTCTTGCAGCACTGACTTCCCTGCCTGCCTGGGGGAGGAATGCAGCAATGAGGGGACAGAAGAACTGTGCCACCTCCCAGATGCGATTTTTTTCAGGATCTCATGGGTCTCCCTGTTGTCCTCCGAGCGCCTCCTAGACTTGACCTTTTCGTTGACTGGAGCATGGATTTTAAGATTTTGATGCCTTAGTCCCACTTATTATTTTTTTTAAGAAGTGACATATTCTTCAGAAATGCAAATGGTTGTGCCCAAGCTTGTTCCTAGTGGAGTCAGGTGTGAGGATGTGGAGGCGGGTCCTTCCCTGGGGGGCTGGTACCCCAGCAGGGATGCGGCATCTGCTAAGAATTAACTGCAGTCTGCCTGCACTTCCAGTGGGAAAACCCAAGTGTGTCACTGTGACTCATTCAAGACTTCCCCTTGGCTGGAAGTCGCAGCTTAGCTGCCCCCGGGACTCCCGAGTTGTGTCAGTTAAGGGAATCCTGATGTCAAAATGGAGTGCCAGCTTCTGGGCGTTCTGCTTCACCCAGACCTGTGCTTTCCCTCTTCTGATCTCCGCTCCTTTTGTCACGCCGCAGGGCTGACAGACAATAAAATGGAAGTGTCCCTTTCTCAGTCCTTCCCAAGGTTTCTCTTTTTGTTTCCAATGAGAAACGTCTCAGGCTTTAATCAGTCATAGGCTTGGAGTTAATTATTAGCTTTCTTCTTATTAATTTATTTTATGCTTAGGAGAGGGTCAGGGGAGGTGGAGATATTTCAAAGAGGTCAGATGTTGTCAGACTTGCTCTTCAACCTCATTGAAAAGCTGTGGAGCATAGACTCTGCAGCCAGGTTGCCAGGGACTGTGAATCCAGGTTTTGCTTGTAATAGCTGTGTGATCTTGAGTTAATTATTTAACCTCTCTGATGCTCAGTTTCTCATCTGCGAAATAGAGGTAGTAATGTGTCACAGAGATGCTGTGAGAGGGATCCTTCCCTCCCGCCGCCCAGCGGAGCATCAGTGGGTTTGACCTATCTGAATAATGTGCTGATTGGTGTCTATAGTAATGGATTTTCCTCCTATGCTTCCTCTGACCTGTCCCCTCCCTTCTCTCACACGGTCTCCCTCTCTCCGGTATAAAGCCAAGCCCTTTCTGGGTGCACCTGCTGTTGTCCTTACACATGTCCCGATATGTCACTGTCAGTGTCCTTCAGGGCTCTCTTCCCAATCTGATCCTCCCGTGTCGTCGCCTCTGCACCCACACCTGCCTGGAGTGTCATGATGACCTCAGTCTTGGTGACCGTCACAGCAGATGGGCGTTGACGCCCTGCATTCCTAGCGGTGCATGGCACTTGGTAGAGTGAGTACTGGAAACAGTCATTCTGAGAAAATGCTAAAGAAGGTGTTAGGCTGGGACACTGGGGTCAGCGTCCACTGGGTAAAGTGTGTCCTGCACCATGTTGATCCAGTCACCTTCATTTAATAAAATTTGTCACAATGGTGCTTTTTTTTTTCTTTTTTGCCTGCATGTCCTGCAGTCTCTTTCCTCTCTCTCCCCCCTGCCCTCTGAGGTTGCAGCCTTTGACCTTGAGGAGCACCCAGTGGGCTGTCTCTGGGAGCCCATCCCATGGGCGGCTCAGCTAGCCTGGCCCAGGGCTTCTAGGTTAGGGTCACAGGGCTCTAAGCATGGATACCTGTTGGGGAAACTCCTCACACCTGCAGGGGAAGCCGGGTTTCACTCTGTGTTCCCATAAATCCCATGCTCCTGAACCCCTGAAGAGCACACCTGCCCGCGGGTCCCAGGGGAGACACGGCTCCCTTCAGCTTGTGTCCCGAGCCCTGTCACAGCCCAGCTCCAGAGGCCCTCGATGAGGCTGTGCCGGTGCAAGCTTGCCCCACATAACCAGAGCCACTCCCTGGCCCTGACCCTTCCCTCCCGCTGCCCAGCAGAGCATCAAACAGTCGTCCCCGGTCCCGACGGCTCACCACCGGGCTGGGGTTCCAGCGCCATCTGAACCCGATTCTACAGCCAGGCCGTGGCTGTGTGACTGAGCACACGGGACGGCAGCGTGTTCACCACCCGAGGGACAGGTCTGCAGCCTCCTCACTCACAGTCCACGGGAGGTGTTCTGCCCGCCATGCTGATGAGGAACCACAGGGTACGGGGGCGGAGGACCACTGCCTGACCTGCGCCCGCTGTTGGCCTGCCTGCTGGCTGAGTAACGGTGCCTGCTCAGAGGACTGACCTGCCTTTGGGATACGCGAAGCCACCGCAGGAGAAGAGTTATTTTTTATCACCAGGTTTTTATTCCTTTTCAGTCTAACAGTCATTTGAAGGTTTGACACTGAAACAAACTCCCTCTGTGTCGTGTGGAAGTGAACCAGAGCTGCATTTTGCAGATGTAGGGAGAACCGGAGAAATCCCAGGGACAGACGGCTTCTGGGCCGCTTCCCTCCCACTTCCTGCGTTTCTCTTTGAGCTCCGCCTGGGCTTGGCAGGGTCAGCTGCCCTACCTGGAGGTCACTTGGGGACCTGTTGCTTTGTGGGCTTGAAGTGGACTGGTGGGCCCCCGAGTCCCCTCGGAGTTCCTTGAACCAGCCGGGGTCAGGGACTGGGGGAAGGCCGTCTCTCGTGGTCAGCCAGCCCTTGAGTGGCCGTTCTTACGGGGAACTCACAGGGATGTCGACTCTGCCGTGTAAAATAGGTGCCCTACGTGAAAACAGTGGGACGCAGCACAGGCACCAGAGGAGGACACACTGAAACGTGGGGCAGCAGAGGTGATGTGTCCTCGTCCCCTTCCCTTCCCACCAGGGACGTTAGGATAAGAGACACCGGCTGAAAACCTGCAGCACAGTTTGAAGAGACAAGCTCACAAAGGGAGTAGAAGTCACTGGTGTCCACGCTGGTGTCTGTCTGTGGCCTGAAGGCTCCAGTGATGTTTAGTACGAGGTCTGTGCCGGAACGGGACTTGTGGGGACAATTGTTGAGGCAAGTCCCTAAATCCACAAAGCCTGCCTTTTCTTCCGGGTGCCACCCGGGCGGTGCCCTGGGAGTTCCTGCTGGGCAGGCAGAGGGACGCGGGTGAAGTGGAGGGTGCCTGGCCCGGGCAGTGTTCCCACAGGGGAGTTCAGGAAGCCTTGTGGGTTTGCCCTGCTGCGCGCAAAAGAAGCCTGCCCCGGGAGATAAAGCCAGCAGCGGCCCAGGAATTACGGGTCAGGCCCAGCAGAGCCCCAGAAGAGTCAGGTCCCCGGGAGAATCAGCGGATTCCCAGAGGAGCAGCCTGGGCCTCATTGAAACCCTGCGCGACCCTCAGTACTGGGTGAGGGTGACTCTGGGGTCACACCAGCACTGCCTCCCTGCATCCCATCCTTGACGGGCCTTGCCAGGGTGCCTGTGGCTCACGGCCCCATGTGCTGTGGCCTCACTAGAGCTGCTGCCCTGGGTTCCACCCCATGCAGACCTCCAGGCCCCACCGGGCACCTGTGCCCCACCTGGTTTCCTTCCCCCAACCTGGAATGTTTGGAAGTAATAAATACTTTGACAGACGTTGAAAGTTTTAAAATAGAAGTGCTGCTGTTTTAAGTATTCTGTAGTGATGATCAGTTTCTAAAGTGACCTCTAAGCCTCCGTTAACATCACGGTTATGGTGGAAAGCAAAAGCTTCTCCCTAAGATGGGATCAGGCAGGGAGGCTGCTCTTGGTCTTGGTCGACAGCCAGGGCCATCCATCAGGAGGAGGACACTTTTGCTGGTGAAGTGCTCCCTGCTGGAAGGACGCAGCAGACCTGGCCCTGCCGCCGATCCCGTCCCCGACCCCGGGCCAGCGCTGGCCTCCCCTGGGATGCCACCGTGGTGTGGCCCTCTCCTTTTGCTCTGGGAGTAGCTGCCCAGGAGGAGGTGGCAGGACTGTCCTGGAGCTGAAGCCCACAGAGGGGCCCTCCCCTGCTCCTGGTCGTGGAGGAGCCATCCAGGCTGTGGGCAGGGGCAAGCCCAGCAGCCTGGTCCAGACACCAAGAGCGTGAACACTGGTGTCCCTCTGCGCTCGACGCCGGCTGACTCCCCAGCCATGGGGCTGCCTTCGGCTTCAGCGCCCGCCCCGGTGTAAGGGGGTGAGGGCAGTAACTGCCACCCAGGGCGTCTGAGGGCGAGGAGCACTAGCAAGTCTGTTGAGCGCCCGGCGCGTGGGGAGCCCTCTACGGACTGTCTCGTACTGAGGCATTGAGCACACCTTGTGATGTTCTTTCCCGTTTCGCTATTTCTGCCAGGTGGGAGGAAATTCCACCAGAGCCTCCTTGGTGACCCCATTAAATCCTTACTTCGCCTCCCACTTGACGTCATGGAGAAGTCGAGGCACCCCCAATCCTTGGTTTTGGATGGGGTGGGCCCCCCAGGTCAGCTCAGCATAATGAGCATGGGGGCCCTTAATCTCCTCTTCCTTTGACTGTGGAGAGTCTGGTCTGGTGACGGTGGCCATGACCGTGAGGACAGGAACCCAGTGGCTGTTACAAGTTAGGCTCCAAAACGAGTCTCAGAAGAAACTGAGCCATCGTGCCGCCTGCACAGCCTTGAGCCCTGCCCGAGCTGAAGGAAGGAACTGGTCTCCAGGGAGCACGGGCGTAGCTGCATACGGCTTGCTCTGCAGAGGGACCTCGGAGCCCATCATCGTGTTCCAGGGACACTACAGGAGAAAGGTGCCCTGGGAGCCTCCAAGAGCTCAGTAGAATGTGATCACCAAGACGAGACTGTGCTTCTGGTTGAATCAGATAAATAGAGTCACCACCTGCAGAATTTGTGTCCAAAATAGTGACAGAAATTTGCCACATTAAATGTGGAGCCTGACCCAAATCATCAGCATCACCTAGGAACTTGTTAGAAATGCACAGTCTTAAGGACACCCCTGGGAGTGGGGTGCATACAAACAAGGCCCAGGTGATTTGATGCCACCGAGGTTTGAGAACCATGGATCTAGAAGATAGAGTAGCAGCACTCTCTGTCTTTGTGCAAGTTACTCCTAAAAAAAAAAAAAAAGAAAGAAAAGAAATAGGAGCCATTTACCCTGTTCTCTGTGTCGGCGAGTGGCCAGCCACGGGAGAGGTGCCGCAGGCACTGCGCCACCCTTCAGTTCAGGTGCCTGTGATCTGTAGGAAGCAAAGCTGCAGGTGTCGGAGGCACAGCCTCTGCACTGCGTCCAGCGCTGGGTAGAGGTCAAGGTCTGACTCTGGTTCCACCTGGAGAACCTTATCTTGTTGCATATAAAAGAGCTGCAGATGGGTGAGAAGAGGTGGTCAGCACGTGGGCACCTCCAGCCAGGCTTCTGGAGGCACACGTCTGTGGGTTCCCCATCTGGAAGCGCCTTGCCCGCAGGACAACCATGCAAACCTGAAGAAAAAGCAGTCTCTTCCTCATGAGCCACGGCATTTCAGTTATACCGAAACTCCAACAGTCATCAGAGAGCCTGGGTGAGCTCACACAGCCTCAGCAGGTCACCCCGCAACTGCCCCTCAAGTTCTTCTTCAGTTTGATAAGGCTATAAATTCAGCATTGGCGCAGAGGGTCAGGAACAGAGTCAATTTCAGGGGCTCTCTACATACAAACAGATTCTGCGATGCTGTGTGGGCTTTTGCATTGAATGACGTTGAATTCAGAGACATGACAGAACTTATTAAAGTGGATAAAGTGAAAATTGTAGCCTGTGATGGTAAAATTACTGGCTCCAATACTACAGACTGAATAGAAAAAAAAATTTGACTTTTTCAGGCCATCTTCTGTTATTATTCATCACTATTTGAAGAGAAGCAAAGAAGAAACTTTAAAAATTTATTCTAGCATTGCATAAATGACTACACTGTACTATCAGAGAATTCCAGCAAAAAGAAGCTTATAACTGTATTCTCTTACATTGCCTTTATTATACAGCATGAAGAAACATACCTTTTCTTTAATGACACATCAAAAATGTATGCCTTCTTAAGAACATTCTTTAATAAACTCATTTTAAAACTCAAAAAAGGGTGGGGGGGCTGCAGATGACACAGAGCAGGAATGTCATCAACACAGTGCCATCAGCAAAATGCATGTGTTCCACAGGATGCGCAGGGCAGAAGCTGTGTGTCTGCTGTCCGTCCCTCAAGCCTTCCTGAAGCTGTCTGCTAGCTCAGGGCCCACACATCCCAGGGTGTGGCTGGGGCTGCCTGGGTGGGCACCCTGCACTGGGCTGCCCTCCCCTTCCTTTGCGTGCTGATACACTCAGGCACTCTGAGGGCTGGGGACCTCCACTCCATGCCCTGGAGCCTGAGGAATCAGGGCGGAGCACGTGGCTGCTGTCCGGAGGTGAAGGCCTCCTTCCAGGCCTGGCTCCTGGGCAGGGTCTCTCGCAGCTCCAGTAGAGGAGCCCTGCAGGGAGAGCAGGTCCTCTGCTGCCCCGAGCCCTTCCCCTGTCCCCACCCTGATGGCACAGTCCTCTGCAAACCGTCCATGCTGGCCGTAGCTGGGCTCCCCCTTCCTGCTGATCCCCTGCCTTTCAAGGTGCCTCTTGACTGCTGTGCGTATACCACCAGCTCGTGCTCCGCACAGGTACCTTCCTGCCAGGGAGCAGAGTGACTTCTGCCAGGAGCGAGCGCCTAGCGGACTGCATTTGCAGTTGTGGACATTCGTTTTTAATTCCTTATGAGTCTCTTGCTGCTGGGTGCAGTGGCACACATGGGAGGATGCAAGTTCAAGGACAGTCTCAGCAAGAAATAAAAAGGGCTGGGGGTGGGATGTGGCTCACCCTGGGCTCAGTACCCCCCCCCCCCCCCAAAAAAAAAAAAAGTCAAAGGACTCAGAACACTTTCTGGGGCTAGTTCTGAAGTGGTGATCTGATGGCAGCCTGGTTCCCAGGAGCTGCCAAGCCCATATTCTAGGCAGCTTCATAGGCTGGGGAGCGCGGCCCTGCTTTCAGAGTCCTGGAACGGGGCCGTTCAGCGTCCGACTTCGGCTGCAGCTGTGTCCGGGCATGCGGTGGGTGGTGCTCTGGTGGCCTCTCGAGCGTCTCCTTGGGCCTGTGTGTGCGCGTGGCTGTGAGGCCCGTGCTGACGGGGCCTCGTGTGCATACCTCCTCCACAGAGCCACGATGGCCGTCCTGTCCAAGGAGTACGGTTTTGTGCTCCTGACTGGCGCTGCCAGCTTTGTCATGGTGCTTCACCTGGCCGTCAACGTTGGCAAGGCCCGCAAGAAGTACAAGGTGGAGGTGAGTGGCGAGCCGGCGCTGGGGCTCCTCAGGACTCGCCTTCAGGCACGGGGTGGGGGGGGGGGCGGGGGCGGCTGGGGGCTGTTTCAGGAGACCCAGCTCCTCAGTGTCAGGAGAGGCCGGAGCTGCCGGGAGGCAGTGTCCACTAGTACTGTTTGTCTTCTCTGCAGCAGGACCAGGGCGCAGGTGTCGCAGGGTGTGTTTCACTGCAGCCGTGCTGGGCAGAGTGTGTCTCCTAAACAGGGCTCCAGGCAGCACTGCGGGACCATGTCTCAAGGGACTGCCTGTTTCCCAAGGGGGAAGGAGGCCGCTGTGCCCAGGCTCACTGTCAGGCACAGCAGGGGGTGTGTTGAACACCTCCTCTGGTTCTGGCTCATCTACAAGGATAATGTCTGAAGTTGTCCCTGATGAGCAATTAGATGTCTGTCTCTGTTTATAGTTGGACTCCCTAACTGGAGCTTCTTTTAAACTTTCCATATCTAGTTTCTTCCATTTCCTCCAGTGGACATTGCTTAAAACTCACACTCAGTCACACCTGTGTCCCCACTGGGGGAAATCTTAAAGGTGTGGTGTTTGATGGTCTCAGGGGGAGCATCCCCAGGCGTCTGTAATGCACCCGAGACCCACGCTGATGCAGACACCCATGCGAAGCACGAGTCTGTTACATGCCGCTGCTGTCCCCTGTCCCTGTGCAAGCATAGCTCTGAGGTGCGCTCCTGGAGGGTTAATAGACACACGGAATCTACTTCCAAGATTGGGACTCTGTTGCTGAGAATAGTTAAGTAGAAGTCCAGCGGTCGTCCATCAGTAGGTGACGATTAGGATGCATTGTTTTTAAGTTGATCTGAACTCTCAGAACTTCATCTCCCCGTGGCCATGTGTGCTTTTCTCCGCAGTACCCTGTCATGTACAGCACAGACCCTGAAAACGGGCACCTCTTCAACTGCATCCAGAGAGCCCACCAGAACACGTGAGTGTGGCCCTGCGGGGTGCCGGAGCCCAGGCAGGGTGGGCGTCTGGGCCGCACACCTCACCCTCGGAGCTCTGTATCTGCTGAGCGATAGCCATGACCATGGTCATGGGCACTGCATGCCCAGTACTGTTAAGAAACCGTGGGTGTGAACGGACTGGCCAGGCAGCAGAGTCCAGAGCTCTGCCAACAGCGAGGTTTCCGGAGTCTTTCCAGCAGCAGCTCTGATGCTTACACCCCATCTGCACCCATCCACACTGAGCTCGGCCCTCCCTGCCCCACCCAGCGGGGAGAGGAGCCCACTCTGACCTGCAGACCTTCCTCAGAGTGTGCTGCAAGTGAAGTCCTTCCGCCCATGTGTTCTGAGTCACCTCTGCTCCTGTCCAGCACAGAAGAGGGTGGGGTCTGTGGCTGGGCCTCTCCCTCTTTCAGTGTTCATGTCTGCTCTGAGTTCTGACCTGCAGGCAAGAATGGAAATGTCTCTTGGTTGTGTGTGGCATATTTACACAGGGCAATTTTTTTTAAGAGAGAGAGAGAATTTTTTAATATTTATTTTTTAGTTTTTGGTGGACACAACATCTTTATTTTATTTTTATGTGGTGCTGAGGATCGAACCCAGAGCCCTGCACATGCCAGGCGAGCGCGCTGCCACTGAGCCACATCCCCAGCCCCACACAGGGCGATTTTTAAAAGTTCTCTCTGTGTCTTCCAGGTTGGAAATGTACCCTCCCTTCCTGTTTTTTCTAGCAGTTGGAGGTGTTTACCACCCGGTAAGTTTCACGGACTTGGGTTTAGTCTCCTGCGCTTCCTTCCCTGGATGAGTCTCAATGCCCAGGCACCATCCACTTAAAAGGAATTCAACTATTTCTAAAAGTTCTTTAAAGTCCATGGCCTTTCCCCCATTTTTATAGATAGGGAAAGACTCTTGGACACTGTTTAACTTTTATGAGCTCAGCCACCAAATAGAAGAATAAGACTTTGAACTCAGGCCTGATTCTAGGAGGTCTGTGAGCGTGAACGTTCACTCATGCCCACAGCGAGGTTGCCCCCCACCCAGGGTATGGCGGTGAAGGACACAGAGCCAGTCTCCCTGGGGTGTAGACACCAGCCTAAGTGGATTACCTGGCATGCTAGAAGGTGCTAAAAGGTGGTGGTTAGCGCACAGACCCAAAGCAGGGAGGTAAGAGGGAGCATGGCGGGCTGTCCTGAATGGGCGGTCAGGAAGGAGGGTCTTGCAGAGGTGGCCATGGTGAAGCAGAGCTCACTGAGGGAGCCGGACTCTGTCTTCTCCAGGGTGAGACCAAGGCTAGTCCCAGGCTGAGCCTGCCTGTGCTCTTTGGGGAGCTGCATGAGGCCCCTGGAGCAGGGAGAGGAGCAGGGATTGGCGGCAGAGCCGCGGTGAGAGTGGACACCGCCCTGGAGGCCTCCACGGCAGCCTGGGCCACACCCCTGCCTCCGGAAGTTCCGTGAACCCAGTTAGCTGCCATTTGGGCTTTGCCTTCCAGGGTCAGCTTCTCTGAGCTGTGGCCCCACGTCCTGGTTCCAAGCCCTTCTAGCCCTCCATCTGTGGACGGCCTGGTTGTCCCCAGGTTGCCAGAGGCCCTGCTGCAGTGCGTCAGCGGGAGGGCCTGTTGTTTCTTATTTTTAAAAGAAACATCAGCTGCTCTTGTATCTCCTGGGGCGGGTGCGTCGTTCTGGTCCCCATTCCTAGGAAGCGGCTGGACTGGCCGTCTGGACAGCCCTGTCTCTCCAGCCTGGTGTCCCCCGGCCCCAAATCCCACTCCTAGTGCTCAGTTCTTAAGGACGCTCCTAGAGCTGCTCCCCGCACAGCGTCGACCTTGTGACGACCCTGTTTGCTATCCTGGAGGTCCCAGTGAGGCCTGGCAGAGGCCGCAGAGCCTGCGGGCACTGACCTGGGAGGCTGGGGCCTTTATCGCAGTGTCCATCCTCCTGCTGGTATTTGACTCTGTCCAAAATCCACTCCAACAATGACCCTGACATCATAGCCTGCCACCAGGGACGGTGCTGGCTGCCAGTCGGAAAGGTGCCTGAGCGTCTGCCCACACCCTGGGCCCCCTTCTTCTGTTGGCACCAGATGGAAGGTCCTCCTCGTGCATGCTTTTCTCTCTCCTCAAGGGCCCTGGGGGCAGGGAGGCCTTTCCCTGCAGGGCCCCATGTTCAGGTCATAACCCGAACCCTCTCCCCCTCTCCTGGGAGCCCCGCCCCACGTGTGGCTGCTGCTGTTTCCCCACGGCCCCCTTCCTGTGGTGGCGTCGCTGGAGATGACACAGCACGCTGCAGGTGGAGTGCAGGGGACGCTGGGGACCACAGTTTCCTCTCTGGCTCCCCTGGGCCTGCCTGTCCTCCCCTGAGCTGTGGCCCCAGGTTTCCAGGCGGGGACAGTGATTCCTTTGCAGAAGGCTGGTACTCAACTCCAGGCCACCAGCAGGTCACAGAAGAACCACGAGAGTTTGAATCCCACTAAGAGGTCGCGGGGTGGGGGGATACCTTGGCAACCCATGGAGTCATCACTGGTCCAGGTGTTTCTTGAGCACAGACCCTGACTCTGCTCTCTCTCAGCGGGTAGCTTCTGGCTTGGGCCTGGTCTGGATCATCGGACGAGTTCTCTATGCCTATGGCTACTACACGGGAGGTGAGTGCCTGAGTCCTGTGCTCTTGGGGTTTTCCTCCTAGCAGGGCTTTTTTTTCCTGTGGGGGGTGGCGGGGTGGGGGAAGCCTGGGTATGGAACCCAGGATAGAGACAAGCTCTCTACAGTGCCACACCCCAGCCTTATCGGGACCCAAGAAAAGGGGAAGTAGCTGGGTGATTAAGGTGAAGGCCTCTTCTAATTTTTACCAACCTTTGAATCATCAAGACTTTTTTTTTTTTTTTGAGCTGGGGTCTGTGTTGTCTAGGCTGGTCTCAAGTGACCCTCCTGCCTTAGCCCCCTGAGTATCTGACACTAGAGTGCACACCACTGTGCCGGCTACAAACATCTGTGTGTGTGTGTGGTGCTGGGGATGGAACTCAGATCCCAGCACGTGCTAGGCAAGTGCTCTGCTACTAAGCTAACCCAGCCCCTTCGCAGTTTTATTCTGAAAGAGGGCCTAAGTCACTCAGGCCGGCTTTCATCGTGATCCTTCTGCCTCAGACTTCCCAGCACTGGGACTACGGCTGTGCACCACCATGTCTAGTGCTGAACTTACTTTTAATTATTTTCCATATGCCAGTTGCTATTTTGCATGTCAACTTTATAGCAACTCTGTGTTGGACAGATCTCATTCCGCAGAAGAAAAACTGAGGCTTAGAAAGAGTGGGACTGTGAGTCACCCAGCTGCTAAGTACGGACCCGTAGGATCCAACCCCAGCTGGTGAATGCAGAACCTGCCTCTGCTCACACTGCAGGAGGCAGGTGGCCCTCCGGACCGGGAGGATGTGGGCTGCACTTACTCTTTAAGAGGGAGATTCTCCCAGAGCCCTGGAGCACAGCTGCTTCCCCCCCCCCACTCTCCTGAGTCCCCTGGCTCCTCTTGCAGCATCTCATGGACCCCCAGCCTGGGGCTGGCCAACCTCAGGCCAGGCTGTCCAGGGGATCGTCCCAGATGCCGTCACTGAGTGGCCTGTGGACATCCTGGAAACGCTCTTCTCTTCTTTTTCAGACCCCAGTAAGCGGAATCGTGGTGCAGTGGGCTCCTTCGCGCTCCTTGCCTTGATGGGCACCACCGTGTGCTCTGCGTTCCAGCATCTGGGCTGGGTCAGAACTGGCTTGGGTGGGGGGTCCAAATGCTGCCACTGAAGAGCTACAGGAACCCAAAGACTCATTCGTCTTGAGTGACTTACCTTCACTTCCAGTTACTTTTTTTTTTAATATAATAAAAACTTACCTGGCTTGGGCCTCAGACCTCAGCCTCCTGACTTGCCATTTCTTCTTGAGCCTCTCAACAGGATTAGCCTGTGCTTCCTAGATGAGAAGAGCCCCAGGCATTGAGGATCCCCCCTCCCCTGCCAGCAGACTCCTAAGCAGCTTGTAAAGTTGAGAAAAAGTCCGACTGTGGCAATGTGTTCACAGTCACGCACAGCAGTGAGAAAATAACAAAATCTCTCCTAGCTCCATTAGGACACATTATCTCATCACTCTGCGCTCATAATTAAAAGTAAGGTCTTTAGAAACTCTGTTGAAGAGTGCTTCTAGAGCCTGGGGTTGTGTAGAGCACTCGCCTAGCATCTGCGAGGCATTGGGTTCCATCCTCAGCACCACATAAAAATAAAGAAAGATATTAAGCCCAACTACAACTAAAAAATATTTTTAAAAAGTGTGCTTCTATTTGCTCAAGAACAACTGAAGCAATAGACTAGATCTAAGGTGGGACTTAATAGGGAGAATGTCACCTTACGCATTGGAGTACAGAGACCTGACTGCACAGGTACAGTGGGGAAGACTGCACGGGTGCAGCTGACCTAGAGGACGATGCGAGTGGGCAGAGTGCAACTACTGACCCGAGAACTCACGGGGCCACTGACAGGACACAGCCTCCAGACCCGCTGTCTGGCTCGGGGCCCCAGCAGCCTGCTGGAGTATGGGGGAGGCGGGCAGTTCTTCATTCGCACAGGCCACATTGCGAGTGTTCAGAACCTGTGAGGGCTCAGGGAGAGTGTGGACACAGGCCTGACGCTGGGGTCCAGGAGATGTCCAGCCCACCGCCCTACTGCTTACGCTTTGGGGCCGAGTTGGTGACGGATGGAGTGCTGTGGTCAGCCTTGGCCTGGTGACCACGTGGGGCCCTTACCACTCAATTAGGCGTTGGACCAGGTCAGTGTGTGCTCTATTGTTAGTTCCTAAGAAATTTTCACCAGCGAAGAAAAAAATGAGTTTGCCACACTTCAATCTACCCTGTTTGACATTAAACGTTCCTGTATGTGGTGAATGGTAGGTGGGAGTGGGGGTCCTCACTGGAAAAGGTGATGCAGACAAGCCCGAGCCGCTCCTGCCTTGTATGAAGCGCACCTCGGGAGGCTGGAGCACCTGCTGACGCCAGGCCTCGGCCAGGAGGCCAGAGAAGGTGTGTGTTCCCAAAGCACCAAGAAAGAGACAAAAAAGACCCTGCGACCACCTGATCACTCCACCATTAGCAGCTGAGCTGTTGGCACTGCACATCCCCAAATCAACTTACTTCTACAGGGAAACACATTCTGAGTTTTGTAGATGGAAAAAACCAACCACAGCAGTCTAGAAAAGCCTGATTAATCCATACTGTGCCTGTAGAACCCACCTAAGGGTGGCTGTGTGCCTGCGGACAAGTTGCTCAACCTCTCTGAGGTTCAGCGTGCCCGGCTCTAAGTTGATATGCTAGTAATACTTAATGTCTACAATTCATTTTTTAATTTTTAAACTGAGAACTGAACCAAGAACATTTTACCACTGAGCTGCATCCCCAGTCCTTTTTGAGACAGGGCCTCGCTAAGTTGCTCAGGCAGGCCTTGAACTTGCCATCCTTCTGCTGCAGCTGGGATGGTGGTTGTGTGCACCGCGCCTGGCGCCTGGCTAGGACTAAACTTGAAGCCAGAACAGTAAGGCCTGCGCCCTTTGTAGTGGGAGAGGGAGGGTCATGTGACCAGGGGCTGGGCTCTAGCCCAGTCAGGCGTGGAAACGGGAGCCACCTGCCGGCGAACTCAGCAAAAGCCAGCAGCCGCGCCACCCTGGGAGTGCTTTTTTTTTTTTCTTTTTTAATTTTTTAAACTTATACATGACAGCGGAATGCATTGCAATTCCTATTACACATATAGAGCACAGTTTTTCGTACCTTTGTATGAAGTATGTTCATGCCGATCCATGTCGTTATACATGTACTTTGGGTTTTTTGTGGTTTTTGCATTGCAATTCTCATTACACATATGTACCACGATTTTTCGTATCTTCTTGTATATGAAGTATGTGGACACTCAATGCGTGTCTTCACACATGTACTTTGGATAAAGGATTGCCAAAGTGCCCACTTCCCTCTCACCTCTAAGGTGCCCTCCTCCTTCATCAGGACGGAGCCATCTCTGAGCTCAGTCCTCTTGAGCAACACTATGCACTAGGACTTTCCAACATGATGGAAATAATCTGACCTGTGCACTGTCTAATAAGCAGTAGCCACAGGTGGCTACTGAGGGCTTGAAATGTGGCCAGAACTGGCAACTTTTTTTTTTTTTTTTTTGGATACTAGAGATTAAATTCAGAGGCGCTTTACCCGTGAGCTACCTCCCCAGCTCTTTTTATTTTGAGGATCTAAGTTGCCCAGACTGGCCTCAAACTTGCAATCTCCTGCCTCAGCCTCCCAAGTCACTAGGATCACAGGTGTGCACCACCACATCTGACCAACAAGGTGAATCTTTTATTTAGTCTAAATTTAAGTAGCTATATGTGGCTGGTGGCTACGTACTTGGAGAAAACAGCTCTTACACCAGCGGTCCTCAGCCTCTCAATTCACCTGGGAACATTTTAGGAATTCAGACTCCCAGATTAATTAAACTAGCATCTTGGTGTGTTTAGAGCTCTCTGGGCAATTCTAACATGCAAAGCTGAGAACCACTGTTCTAAAAGCACCATCTGGAGAACTCCGTGCTCCTTAGATCAGGTTCAGACCCACGGGCCTGAGCCGGGACGGCAGAGTGCACATGTATGGGAGGAGCCCTGTGCTCAGGACACCCTGAGCAGCGCCCAGGTAAACGTGCAAGTTTCCTCTGATCCCAGGACAGGGCAGCTCTTGCCTTCAGTACTCTCAGTGTCCATAGGTGGCTGGTGCTGGTGCCTTCAGCAAAGGGCACAGACCTCTCCTGCGACCTGGCGCTTCCTCCCGTGACGCACATCACCCCCACGTGCAGCACGTGGGTGTCCTCACATTGCGTTGTTTATGGATATAACAAGGAAACAACCTGGATGTGGCTGGCAGAGATGCAGGTCTGTGAGGTGCTGGGACCGAACCCAGGGCCCTGCACTGCTAGGCACTCGCTGCGTCACTGCGCCGCACCCCCAAGCCACAGACGCAGTTTTCATGGGTTCAATCCACAGGTGTGAAGCCCATGAGTCTTCACTGGGTTGGAGGCTCAGCTCCGAGGGGCTGGCTGCACTGTCCTGGGCCTGTACCGAGGCAGCTGTCCCGGAGGAGAGTGTGGCTGGGAGGCAGAAGAGGAAGCGGCCAGATCCCCGGGTCCCTGAGAACACACCCCATGACCCAAGGACCTCTACCAGCCCCATCAACTGAAGTCCTGTGGCTTCCCTGGGGACCACATCTTTAACACATGCCCTCTGGGGGATGTTCCACATCCCAACCCTGGAGTCTCCGAGAGGCTCCGGAGGGAGGGCAGCCCCACCGACTCCTTGGTTTCCAGCAAGTGAGACCATTCTGAACTGACCGCCAGAGCTGAAAGGTGACATACTGGTGTTGCTTGAAGCCACTGCGTGTGTGGTAGCTTGTCACGGAAGACATGGGAACCAGGGAGGGGCACAGGAAGCACAAGCACTGGAGCCCACACCTGGCCTGCACCCATGCTCACTTAGGGCCCACCTGGGACCAAGACTTCTCCAACGGTTTCTACACCTCAAGGTCAGGCGTGGGCCTGTGCTGGCTGAGTGTGTTAAACAGAAGGGGCAGCAGCAAGCACCTGGGTGCTCAAACCTTGGCCCCCGCCCCACTGTTTCTCCGTAGGACCATCAGGAACATGTGCCTTCCTGGGGGGTTCCTATTGCCTACGTTAAACAAGCATTCCAAGACACAGTGGGGGACCTCTGTGGCCTGGCAGGGTGTCCCGTGTGACCTCGGCGCAAACAGGATATGGTCAGGTCTAGCCCAGTGACGAGGACCTTTCCTTATCTCTGTCCCTATCTGTGATGCTATGCAGGCTGTCACTCATTACCTGTCTGGAAACAGAGAAGGGGGCAGGGAAGACGTGGCTGGAAGATCACTGGTCTCTCTCCAGGACATCTCTGTTCATGGGCAGCAGGGACGGATGGACTCACAGCGTGGGAGTGCCTCACAGCAGCTCCATCTGCCCCTGCGCTTCCCAAGAGCAGTCCCTGAGCCCTCTGCCTGAGCCCAGTGTCCCAGTGTCCCCGGGGAGGGGTGGCGTCCAAAGCAAAGCACAAGGACCAACAGCAGATGCACTTTAATTTCACTGTTGCGCTCCCGCCCACAAAGAGGGAGTGGAACCCCCCACCCCCCAAGCTACCGGCCAAAGTCGGGTCCCCTCATCAGCAACTTCCTCGCTGGAATGACAGGACGAGACTAAAACCGTGAACATGCAGGTGTCGCCTCTGCTGACTCCACTGGGAGCCACCAGAACACGTTCTCCAGGCCAGAGAACCAACGTGCTCGCGGGCGGAGCACGGGGCGTCCCGGCCCCTCTGCCTGCTCTCTGGAAGTGTGCTGCTGGCTTTAAAGATCTCACAGAAATTTTCATTGAGGAAAATCAAAACCGTCTGGATTCGTGTCTAAGTGGCACTTGCAACACATTTTCGATTAGGAAGGTAACTGAAAGGTGAAGAATAAGGCACGACCACTCCCTTACCCTCAACGGCCCCAAGTCTGGACCTGGAATGGATCCAGGAGGCTGGGCACACTAGTGGCAGAATGCCCACCCTGGCTGGGAGGACCTGGTTCCACCCCAGCACCGCCTTGTCCAGAGAGCCCCGCCCGCGGACAGCCTCACTGTGGCTGTTCAAAACGCAGTTTCCACATCGCCCATCTCCACGTACACGGTCTTGAGCTGTGAATAATATTCAATTGTCACCCGGCCGTTCTCTCTGCCAAACCCTGAAAGGAAGAGAAAGGGCCAGGATGAGCCAGCAGTGCGACTGTCTGAAAGGCCCCCACTGCCCAGAGCCAGGCCCTGCCCACCAGGCAGGGGACTTGGGATTTGAAGCC